ATCAATATTTTCAAAGAAAACTTAATAAAGAAAACATCTCTTTCTTTTTTGTTCACAATTTTTATTCTTCCATTTATTTATTTTAACTGCATTTAAGATTCCTTTCTACTCCTCATTATTTGTTTCTGTGACTATATATTAATTCCTTTCTTTTTATATCCTTTTCTCAGAAATTCTATGGAATGCAATAGAGCTCTGATGGTGATGATCATACTCCAAATAAGTTTCTCTTTGCTTTCAGGCTTTTCTTTGTTAATTCCTTGGTTGAAAAAATTAAGCATGCCAGGACTTATAACAATCTGACAAATATAATGAAGGCTATCAACAACAGTCCAGTTCAAAGCACTGAACACCATATTTGATGCTTGAGGGCAAATAGGATGCAATACTAGAAACAAGTCATGAAAATTACAGTTTGATTTTAGATGAGCACAACTATTCAACCTCTTCAGCAGAGTAATGTTTGTATTATCTTTCTTGTTATGTTGCTCATAAATAGATTTTCCAAGTGTGCTGATAGCCATGGTTCCCTTCAAGAATCAAACTGCTTCACCTTACATCCCTAAGACATGCCTTGTGTAAATAAAGTTTTGTGAAGGTGCTTTGTTGAAACTTTCCATAAAATTATACAAACTTCTAAGTCTTGTTGATGGCTACATACAAAAAAATAGTGCCGATCCAAAAGAAGTTGTATATCAGATAACAGTCAATGATATTTTTGAGTCATTATATTTCATTCTTCCAGCAAGCTACCTACCTAGATAAAAACAAAAATCAATCTGCTAAGATGTATAGCTAATTATATATTTTGTATTTATAGCAAAGTTACTGAGGCTACTTGCTACAGTCCCTAATTTTTAATTTCTGATCAGAGCCAGTCAGCAGCACTTTACCACCCACACTAAGGGATTGATTGTCACTCTTATGATGCACCTACAGCTTAACCTTTTCACTACTGTTGGGTTAGATTTGTCCTAGTATATGCTTATGTAGAACTGGTGGACTAAGGCTTTCCCCAAAGGTTTTCTAAAATTGTATTTATATATTTTTAAAGATTTTACAGATTCACCCATTGCAGTTCACAAATGCAGACTCCCCATCAAAATCAGGCTCGACTCAGAGACAAATTCAACAGTTTTTTAAAACCACTCTCTCAGAAAAATGAAAACTTGACATTATTGAGAACATCATAGCCTTCATTGCCCTAGATGTGAAATCTATCAATGTAACCAAAGGTGAAGGTTTCAGAGAATTTATAAACACTTTAGAGCTATCATACACTATCCCTAAAAGATAAACCATTTTGGACGAGGTTTTAGTCAAGTGTACATCAGAGAAGACTAGAGTGTTTGAACTGATCAAGCAATGTACAGCAGTCAGCTTCACAACAGATTTCTGGACATCTTTCAAAATGGAACCATATATGATGGTAACCTGTCATTTGATCATAGATAACTGAAGGCTTGAGAATTACATGCCTGAAACAAAAGAATTAGCTAAAAAACACACTGCAGCTAAAATTGGTCAGAGGTTAAATAAAATGGTCGATGCCTATAAGATTCCTCCAAAATAATGGCAAGCAGTGGTTCACAACAATGCAGTCAATATCATGTTATGCATTCAACTACTACAAACTGAGGAGCCACTGGAAAAGATGTATGGAATTAGGGGTGCAGGACATGCACTACAACCTTGCATCAATACAGATAGATCCCATTTCCCAAAATGTTGCTGCTGCAAGACTTGTAGAGCGCTTTAAAAAGAGTGCCACAACAACAGCTGCTCTTAAAATGAAACAGCAGCAACAGAATGTGGTAGAGCACCAGCTGATATTGAAGACGTATCAACAAGATGGCACTCCACTTTTTGTCATGCTGGACTGTCTTGAGGAGCAGTGATGGCCAGTGACAGCAGTTTTGTCGGACCCAAATAGGTTCGAAAAGGCTGATCAGAAAAATCTTGATCTGACTTCTGAACAGTGGCATGGCTGAAGACACAGCTAAAATTCTGAAGCCCTTGGTAACACTGACTGAACATTTGTCACAAGAAGAAGATGTTACTTTATTGGCAACCCTACCTACACTGCCAAGTATGAAGAAACATCATCTGGCTCTTCAGGATGAAGACAGCCCTACTATGAAAGTACTAAAAACAAAATTAACTGAACAAACAGACAACATGTGGCAATTGACATCCTTAACAGAAAACAATTTTTATGTGTTGTCATCTGCTCTTGACCCCTACTTCAAGCACCTCAAATTTATTGATCAAACAATAAAGAAAGCAGTGTATTCTGAATTAGATGTTTGAGTGAACCCAAGTTGGCAGAATAATCTGAGCCAACCTCCAGAGTGCATCCACAAGTGTTGAAAGTGAAAGCATCAACCTGCATCCAAATGAGAAAAATGTTTCAAAAAAACAAAGAAGCAGAAAGAAGTTGAAATTCTGCTACATGATGTGGAGAATGAAGGATATAATAATGAAGAAAGAAATGAAAGGCACAAACTGGAGAAATACCTAAGAGACAAAGCCAAACTGAAAATTGATTTTAGTGGAAGAGAAACTAAGACTGCTACCCAAAACTGGCCTGACTTGCAATACAAATATTATGCATTCCAGAAATGTCAACTCCCCCTGAAAGGATTTTCACCAAAGCTAGATATATAGTAAATAAAACAAGGTGTTCATTGCTGCCCCAAAATGTGGACAAATTTGTTTTTCTTGCTCACAACATGAAAAAAAGTAGGCAGTAAATAAAATCAAAACTACATTGAAGTTAACACTTAAAATACATTCTAAAGCAAACTGAAGGATGCTTTTTGTTACATATATTTTGTCTGAATATTTTTTAATGCACAAAGATAACATATCTGAGTATTTAATTCTTTTCTTTAATTGTTTCTGGACTGTATTCCAAAATATTAAGTTTTAATTCCCTACAAACTGTAGGTTTTTTTTGTGTTTGGAGGGTCTTTTTATTACTGTTGAATGTCAGCATTTAACCAAACTGTTAAGGTTGCTGTGTTTTGTTTCATTGTTTATTTATTTTTATGTTTACTTACTATAGGTTGATTTAATCAACAATGTTGTTAAAATGTAACATTACAGTTTAGAGTTGTATTTTTTTTTCTAATAAGTTACTATGTTCTGTTTTGCAGTTTACTTATTACTACATTGTTATCTATCACTTTTTTACATAAATAAAAATATGTTCATCTAAGTTAGCTGCAGTTCTTTCTTTCATTTGGATGTATGAATAAGATGCTCTTGTACTGTAAGGTTGCATGTCGGTGAGTCTTGTAAGTGCATCAGATACATAAACAGCATGCTTTTATATTATTATTGTCAACAACATGATTACTGTTTTATATAATGTATTTAAAACTATACATGGATGTTTTACTTCATTTTTTGGTGTAATATATTAGGATTTTCAATGCTAGTAGTTAAGGTGACATCACTGATTAGTTATGTAAAATATCACTAGGATAGGTTCAAACCTTTGCTGGGTAATGTGTTACAAATCTTCAAAGGTCGAAATTTACCCTTCAGTACAGTCCTATGGTGGCCCAATATGCAAATTTCAGAAAATGTACGTGAGAAAAATTTATATAAATGCAGAAGGCATTCCTTACGTATTTCTAGGTCATGTTCATGTACTTATAAAGTTTCTATTTCAAAAATATAGTCACACTGAAAAGGTTAAAGTGTTGGGAATATTTTTTGTGATACTGCACAGATTCAAACCTCACTCTCTACCTCTGAAATCTAGAGCTCTACAACAGATCCAAACCACATCTTGTAGCTAATGGTAATTAAATACACTATTCTAACATCCTTACTTATAAAGTTGGGTACCCTCACTATTAACAATATTTCTGGCTAGCTTAGGAAATTTATGTTAGTCTGAAATTCATATTCCAAGCTAATAATGTAATCTCTATGGTAAAAATATACTGATAAAAAGTACCAAGAACAAATATATATAATGAATATTCTAACCAATACTGTTAATAAAAGTAATATTAAAAAATAACAGTGTGTACCTTACTTAACAGCATGAAGAATGTCATTTTGTCCAGTTTGTATTCTTCCTTTTGTTTAAATGCATTTAGGATTCCTTTCAACTTCTCATTATTTGTTTCAGTCACTAAATCTAGTTCCCTTTTTTCAGACTTTTGTCTGTTAATTAATGGTTCAATTTCCTTATTCTTAATACAAGACTCTAATTCATTTGCAAAAATATGAATATAAACAGACCTGCTTCTGTTTACATAGTTCATGTTTTAGAAGAACACGACTATCATATTAAACACAAAAATGCACTTATATTTGCTTCTTATTTTAGGGTTATTAAAATACTAATAAATTTCAAAATTATGTAAATATTTTAGGGCTATAAAAATGAGCATATTAAATGTGGCCACTGGTTACATATCATGACTATTTTAAAACACATACAAGCTTTAGTATATTTTTGTTCTAAATTCAATATTAAATTGAAGTGTCAAGTATATTAAATATTACATATGGGCAAGCTAGCTGTTAAATATTTGTTCACTTTCATTTTCCAATCAAACCCTGTCACACATTAAAAGTTTAACTTAATGCTTTTTTTTAAAACAATTAATCAATTAATTTGTCCATTTTGGAAAGATATGGGTATAGAAAATGATGCCAAAAAAACATATGGAATTATCAATTTCATTAAACTGAACACAAATTTAAATCTCTATTTGACAAGTACATTAGGCAGCTCTTGAAAATGGTAAAGCAGTCAAGTTGCCAGATACTTACACCATCTAGTCTATTTACCTCATTTATATGAAATTCTATGGAAAAGCAAAGGAAACTAAATAAGTTTAACTTTTTATTGATGTTTTCCCCCTTCTATAAGAGTATATACTGTTTAAATCATTACATGACTAGCATGTACAATTATGACATGCTTTATATCACAGTACAGGTAAATATTAAAATTAAAAGAACTCAAGGCGGTAAAAATTCTATAATTTTTATATTTTTTATGACATTACTTACAAGGAGAATTTATTAACTGATATTACTGAAAAATGATAGTCCAGATCTTGAAAGGACTTTAGGAATTTCATTAAGTTAAGACATATGCACAAACCTCATATACACTATTACGTGCTAGTAATAAACTGAAGCTAAAAAGAAAAAAAAAGACTAACATTTAAATTTATTTTCACTATCACACAGAAGTTAACAAATATATGCATAAATATTACTAATTTAAAAATAACATCAAAATAATCTGATAAAAAACTGAAACTAAAATACACCTGTTGATTAAGAACTGAGTATAGTAAACTTCAAATTGGGCTAGGAGATTTTCCAACAACGAGTTGAGTCAAGTCGATTGGTTACTTGCCAATTCTCTGTACAAGCCAGTCTTGCTGACAAAGTGGACATCTGTTGTTCTGTCTTACCCAAAGTGACATACAGCAGTTATGGAAAGAATGGTTGCACTCTCCCCACACAACTGAAACAGTAAACAAATTTTTTTAAATTTTAATTTATACTGTAATCGGGTGTTTGTATACACTTTTGCATCTTACAAATAAGATTTTAGTGAGCTTTACATATTCTTTTTGCCTTAAATATATACATTACATTGAACTTTTAGATATTTTTGTACTTTACATATAAAAGATGCAGTAGTGAAACGTGAAAGTTTGTACTTTTTTTGAATAAAAGTTTAAAAGGATCCTGATATTCTCATGTCTTAGAAATAAAGATTGAAGTGAATAAAAGCTTAAATATGGAATGATAATTTATCTATACCATCTTTATTTGAAATTGTGAGAATTTCCTGATGTAAGATATTGGCATGAAGATCTTTTTTGGAGAGGAAAAAAGAGTGAGATACCAAAGAAGGTTCCACTGAAGATTGAATCTATTTTCAAGAACCCATGAAATCAGAATTTTAATTTTACAAACAGAATGAAATGTTCCAAATGAAATCAACTGGATGAGTAGAAAGGCAGTTTACTCACCCTTCAAAAAAAAGGTGTCATCTAAAAATTCTCCATGCCTCCTTGGGAAGGCTAAAGAATCAGTGGCAAATAATCTACACAACAAAAAATATATTCAAGTGTAGAATAAAGGGAAAATCAAAAAAGTAGAAGTTACAATGAAGCACCATGATAAGACAATGAGCAAAAACACTAATACTGTAAACAAGAGGTGCTGAGAAAAATTCTCAAACATTTGTTCATGAAACAATAAAAAGCAATACAATCCTTTGAATAAATATAATGTAAAAAGGTCTATTTAATATTGAGTTTTGTGTGGTTAGGGCTCAATCAGACCATACAGTGTGTGTCTGACCTTGACTCAACTGGACAGACAAAAACAGAGATGATAAACCCATCCTGCTGCAGGGGAAGGGCACACTAATTGTTTGAGTGGTGATCCATAATACACAGACAGTGCCACCATCATTCTACTTCCCACCATATTGTAAGTGACACGGGTCTCCTGTGCTTCACTTGAAAAAGGGAGAAGAGAATTCACATTTGGGAGATCCAGAAAAGTGTTCAGATTCCCACTGAACATCTTCCAGAAAGGATCCTTAATGGAAACAGTGCCAGCTTTCTCTATGATAGTCCATGGAAGATACAGTCTGGATCGAGCAATTGAATAATTTTAATACCATGAATCTTGGATGGCTTGAGAATTTCTGTTATCCCTAGCCCAATGTGGATTTTGGAAAATAAGCATACCATGGGAGGCAACACCAGCTACCTGGTGAGATCCTATTACAGGGAAGAGAGTAAAGTGAAGTAAAATGTCTAGTTTGAATAAAGAACAGTGATTGGAGGGAGTCAAAATCAACATAGATGAAACAGCTAGATGATGAAGATAATGGGAGATGAAAGTGTGTGAATTCATCCACATGCCAGCCTGAAGAATCTCATCCAAAGGTTGGTAAAAATGAGACACAAGAGTGAGGCAGTTGATGAATCTGATGTGACAAAATGTGAAAGAACAATCCCTCCAACCGAAACCTTAGGTCAGGGTAGAAGAGGAAGTAAGTATGGTGAAAGAGAATGTGAGAAGCATCAATGACATATATATCTGAATGACAGCAACCACAGGAGAGAAGAAGGTAATGTCTTCAGAGAAAGATGGTATAAAATACATGAAGCCAACTGCTTGAATGGAGCACATGTAAGACCACATCAAGGTCCTGGGAACCTGACTTCTGGGTAGTTGTAGGGTGGGGAAAAGCCCTAGTCCAAAACCAAGTGAAGAACACAGACAGACTGGGAACAGAAGGACAAGAAGCTGAGAAGGATCAATGGTGAGACCATAGGTGATAAGTATGCCACTTCTGCTGATAAACTTCTAAGAATGACAAGTGAACAGAATGGGGCAGGAAGAAAGCTACACACAAAAAGAGTCATCACCATCCTGCAAAAAACCAGATAAACCCCCATGTGTGAAGCCTGGGTGATCACACAGCTGGATGGAAGAGAGAAGTACAAGGCTGAAGAAGAAGGGAGAGAAAGAGTGGAAGAGGAAGTCAGAAGGCTTGCAAAGGAAACCATGAGTGGGTCAGCCACCAGAAGGATCTGACAAGGAAGAGAATTTGAGGGAGAGGATGAATAAGGACTATACACAAATGAAGAATTTGGACTGACTGAAAGCATTCACCACCAGTGCTAATGCATGTGGAAAAGGAGACACAAATAGGGGAAGCTTGGCAATGTTGTAAGTGGCAAAGGCATTGATGTGAAGATTATCCAGATGAGATCAAAGCTAACAAAAAACATGAGGATTGAGGGACCGCTGTAGAAAAAAGATTACAAGAGAAGTTCCAATGATCATTTAGAGTTCACAGTAAAAGGCATGTGAGCATGGCCCAAGAAGATAAGGAGTTCCAAGGAAGCTTTTGGAAGCTCAAGTTCCCAGTAGATAGTGAATCTCTTGTGCAGGAAGAGAAGAAGAGGATAGAGCTGTGGAAATCAAACCCTCCATCACCAACAAATGCAGCAGAGAAGGTTGTGTCCTGCTGAGATGCCTCACAAAGAAGGAGAAGAGTTTGGTCACAGGCTACCTGTCAGAATGGAGCTAAAAGAAGCCAGTTGTCTATAAGACGGTGGAATCTCAATCCCAATCTGTGAACATGACAACCAAAAGCATGTACTATGTTACATAAAAGAAACATATTTGGGCAAAACCAAGCCAAAAGCAAGGGCTCAGAACTGTTAAACTTGACTGTAATGTACAGACCAAGCACAAAGTCTGGATGCTAGGAAGATGTGAATGTGAAGATAAGTATCAGGGATGTTGATATTTGTTGACCAAATTCCTGGAGAAAAAAATCATCAGAGGGTGAGAAAACTCATCACAGTAAACTGATGGAGATGGGACAGAGTGATGACCAAGTGTCAATCCCTGGTGTACTGGGAAACAACAAACAGGCAAGAATAAAATTCCAGAGAAGGGTGAGAAACCCTTTTGATAACATCTTCGGTCAAAAGTTCTGACATTGCTTCAGAGAGATGCTGGAAGGAGACAAGATCCCCTGGAGGAGGGAAAGGAAGGGAAACAGAAGACAAAGAGGGTGGAAAGGTAAAACAACAGGAAAATCCAGCAGATAGAATCTGTAGACCTCAATCGTTAGCCACAAAATGAATTCATAGATCCAAAGAAGCCCCCCACTGTTCTGGAGCCTAGAAGATATTCACTGAAGAGACTGTCAGCACTGAAACCTAAGGATAATGGAAGAAGGGGAATGATGTGGAAGAAGAAGGAGTCAGAAGAATGGAAGACAGCAAGTGGAAAAGAAAGAGCTTGGGATAGATGGGACACAAAGGTAGTCAAGGAGAGAAATTTATGTCAAGATCTGAAAAAGGCCCAGGCAGCTTACAAGACTCCACCATCTGCAGCAAAATAGCTGACAGACAAAGAAGCAAATGACACTGTTGTGGTAGTCTGTTCAACACTAGACAATGTGGAAATGACTATCTCCGTGTAATTCATGTTGTGGAAAATTTGAGCCACAAAGTCTGAAGAGGCAGAATTGTTTCAAAAATCAAAATAAAAATTTCCATAACAGTTAGTTTTGCAGATACTTCAAGCAAACATTGACGTTGAGAAATCTCACATGTGTGGAAAAAAGACGTATCTTACCATAAGAGTGGGAAATTGAGAAATGATGATTGAACAATCAGTATAGAGGAAGCCAGCTGTGCTACGAGGCAGTGTTGTGTTCCTATTGGTGGATGGTTGTCACATGCTCATTTATATACAACAATCCAGCAATATCACATGGAAACATGAGAGATTAGTTTAGTGGGGATCAAAAAAGTTTATATATAGAGGGCAACAATATATCAGGAAAGCTGAATGTGAGAAGTTACGTATCATACCTGAAACAACATTTTCCCTTATATCAGTTTTCTTTGTTAAGTTAGTATTACGTATATTTATGTTTATTTGATAAAAACAGCAACATTTTAAGTAGTTTTATATTGAAACTGCACAATTTTGAACATTTTCTACAAAAAACCTAAAGCATTAGCATTTGAAATTTGACACTTATGAATAATGATACTTTACCAACACAATCATCTTGTTTATTTTCAGCTTGACATCGCAAACAAGCATCTGGAATGAAATTACAGACACATATTAATACTTTCATGAATTGAACGGATAACAGTTAAGTAATTTAAAACTTGTATGCACTTGTACATACTGGGTATAAATCCATTATGATTGGCAGTACCTGAAAATCAAACTTCATTGAACTTAAAAGGCCTTTATATTTTCAAACTTTCAATAATCATACTGTCATACTGCATTTACTAGAAGTACTATTTCTAGAAATATATAAATATATATATATATATAACTTGCTAAAAATGAGGATTTATACATTTTTAAGTTTCATTCACTAATAAACCCCAAATTACACCTTTATAATTTGTTTTCCACAGCCTGTGTTACACTAATAATATTTTATGTATTCCATAATCCATTCCATTTGTAAACAGTTTTTTGACAAAAAACTACTATACAAAGATTAAACTTTTTCATTTAATTATCAAACATGTTTTCTATACGATTCAACTATAAATGAACTAGTTAAAAACTTTAGAAAATATTAAAAAACTACAATAACAATTGATCATAAAATTCATGTATATTTAGTGTACAAAATACGAAAAAAGTACTGGTGTAACTTGTGTAACAACTGAGTTTGCAGTGTTGCAACAGTGTAATTACATTTTCAGTAAACCAGGAATTTTTGTTTTAATTAGTGGTGGGTTTTTATATCACTTAATGAAAACAGTATAGATGAACATGATGTAGATGTTCACCAGTACTGTAAGGAACTGTATACAGTAAAATAAAAAATGGCCGAAAAAATGGAATCTCTTGACTTCATGCGTGTCACTTATCTGTTTTGTTACTAACTTTTTATTCTATATATGTTCACTGTGCTTTGTAGTCCAATGTTAAAGTAGCAACCTGATTTTAGCAGATGCATATAACAGTAAGTAATTTTTTCCTGTCTTAAGTTTAAAATACTACTGATTTTTATTCACATGTTACCAAACTTTGATTTTTATTTATTTTTTCTGCCAATTCTTGTGTTACTACCTTTGTTTCACAACTGTTGAAAATATACAATTATAAGTGTGCATAATCTAATGACTTGTGCATAGTGCATAATTTGCATTTTTTTTTTAGAAAATAGGTCTTAAAATACTGTTTTATATGCTATATTTATCATAAGTATGTACAAATATTTAATAAAAGAAATCATTATTTAAAAACTGTTAAAAATCACATATAATGACTGTATAACTAATTTAAGTGCAATGCAGTTTAAAAATCAATTTCAAAGTATCAGAAGTACATATTTAGGTTAGATCAGAATGTTTATCTACTATGATACTTGTACAATTTTATTTAGTTTTAAAGCAGGCTAATACTTTATTATCAGAATTCAGAGTCAAAATATTTCAGTAAATCAAATGGTAATGAAACAAGCCAGAAAACTTAAAATACACAATTTTCATCTAGGAGTGAAAATAAGGCCATCCAACCCATCAGATTAAACTTCTTTTTATGTTATTTTCCAGAGTATCGTGTTTACTTTAGCCACAGGTAGATACCAAAATTACCATTCAAATTGACCCCTCCGAATTTGAACATGTATATCAATTTGTTATTACATCAATACATGGCGTACTTTTCTTTCTAAATTATAATAGGAACCCATTATAAACCATAAGATATTTAGTAAGCACTACAAAAAAACAACAACAAAAAATGCCAGTAGGCTTAGCCTATGAAAGTATTTTCATTCAAATTTTAGACATACCCATTACTTGGACCCTACAAATAGCGCAAGTGTCGCATTCCACATCCCAACTCCACATTGCTACAGCATTCCATTTTTTTAGTGTGAACATTTTTTCTGGTTTGTGTTCATTTGATTCATCTTTATCAACTATACATTCTTCTTCATCGCCCATTATTATTGTACTTTGCAACGTATATAAAAATATATGATAAAACTACGCCTTTAGAAAAATTACACTACTATGATCAGCCTTTCCTAATATTCCTCGAAATAGTTAATTATGACACGCCAAAAACATCTCTTACTTTACTTGGAAAGGGTACACACGAAAATTATGTTATATTAAGTGTAATTAAAAATGCGTTTTTTTTCTTGTGAGCATAACAAAACAATTAATTAATATACATGGTAATTATTGTTTCAATTTCCATCTTATGATAGTGTAAACTATCCTGTCAATAGTATAAGGTGCGATCACAGGAAATTTCTCGTATGCTATCAAATATGTACTCTATAATACGGCCAGATATATATATGGATTGACACATTTTTTCGTTTTTTTCGATAATTAATATTTTAAACAATGAAGCAAAAGGTGCAGACTAATATTTACTATATAAGCTACTTGTGAATGTTTTTTAAATTTACTGTAATCTAAGTAGATAAAAAAGAATTTGAAAATCTACTATAAGTATAATTTGTTTTACATTTGATATGTATATATCTATATTTACAAAGTGACAAAGGATGGAAAAGCTAAGCATTTCTAAAATTTATAATTTTCTTTCTTTTCTATATATATGTGTCTCTTTGTTTTAGTGCAAAGTTGCACAAATTTTTATCTGTGTGATGCCATCTTCTAAGCTCTAAAGCTATCGCTCAACTACGGGAATGTATTGTCTATTGAATAACTAGAAATTGTAAATATAAACATATATATATATATTTATTGTTGCGTCAGCGAGTCACATG